CCAGGTCATTCTCTTGGTTTATCATTTGTATTTCCCTTTTAATTTTTAAAACTTCAGCTAGCTTCTTTTGTATATCCAGTAAAGTATCCTTTTCCAAATAATTCTCTTGGCCTGTCATTTTTAGTTCCACTTTCAGTACTTCTGTTAGTACTTCAGTTGTTCCACAACTGTTATTCCTTCATATCTTTTGGATATAATCTATCCATAGAACTAGACATCATTACTGACAATGTTGGTATTCTAGTTGCTAACCTCTAGCTCCATTCTTCAAAAATCTCTTTTAATGTTTGTGATGTTATAATATTTTGTGTCATTTTGTAAGTCCCAATATTAACTGACATCAAGATCAGGCTTGTATTTTTTTTTCTTTTGCTTAGAATCTTTAGTCCCCTGTATTGTCCAGTTTCTAAAATCATAAAGTAACTTATTTTTGTTATGACTTACAATAGCCAGGTTTCCCATGAGAAGCTATTTATTTTTTACAGTTAATTCTAAAATCTTACAGTAAAATATTCCAAATTTGTCTGGACCCTTAATCCATTTATAATTTTCTTAGATCAAAATCTTATTCAGTTTTTTGCTGCTTATTTCAAATTCTTTAAATTCTTAAGCTTATAATTAATTTTTCTTTCATTCAGAGTTGAAGATAAACTCTGTCTATGACATCACCTGATGTCATAGGCCACGATTCAGAGTCTGACTCTTACTCTGACGAAGTTGCTCCAGCTGAGCCTGTGGAATGTCAGCCTCAGGAATCATTAAACCATCAGGCATCTCCTGATCAGCTGTAGCAGTCAGTTGACAAGGCACAACCCCCAAACCCCAGATCCAGATTCATGCAGCGGCACGCAGAGCAGCATCAATCAATGAGACTCCTCACAAGGCAAAGGGCAAGGCCTGAGTAATTATAGCCAGCTACCAGCAGAGAGATTTATGTAACTGCTTTGGCTTCAGTCTCTGTTGGAAACAACTATTTGGAATCCTAGCTCGTGACTCGTGTTCCTGTGTATCCTGTTCTTCAATTCCCGACTTCTGGACTGACTGACTACCCAGTATGGCTTTGTGACTTTTGGCAATGTAGCTAGACCACTCTTTCACTATGTTGGCTGCAAACAGTACTTTTCAGGCAAACGTGCTTTGCTAGGTCTTTGATTTACATCCTGTCTGCTGTTATCTGTTTCTGCTCCTTAGCAACTGCGACTGCTGTTATCTGCCTGCTATGTTGAAACAGAACTCCTGATGACTTTTCAGACTTGTCAAGGACTCTAATAGCTTTAAGACAGTTAATAGGAAATTTCTGAAAGTGATTGGAAAGTGAAGCTTGCAAACTTAAGTGTCCTTTAAAAGGCTCCACCATGGTTGTGAACAAGATGGCTGATTCCTTCATCTCCTGGTGCTCAAACTCACGGAAAATCGCTGTCCTGCAGTCTCCTTGGGAGGAGCAGCCATGTGGGTGATCTCCTGTCTTCTCCTTATCTGGAGAGGTTCCAAGGAACCAGTCAACTCATCGGTTCCTTGGTCTTTGCTGCGGCTGTTGGCTCCACTTTTGTGGAGACATCTTCAGCTCGCCATACCTCCCCAGGAAGTCCCAATTGCTTTCACTTTTTTCAACCACAATTGCCTATCTTATTAATAGAAAACACTGTGGTTTCTAATTTGAATGACAAATCTAAATATGATCCTTTTGCCTTCCCTCCATTATTTCCTTCCTTGTTGGTTCTTGTGAAAATATGCTTTCCTTAGAACTTTACCCAGAATCTTATGGTCTATATTAAACTTCTCCTTCCAGGTGCTAACGTAACAGATTGTAGGGTTCTGTTTCCAGCAGTACTTACACTCTATGTAACTTTATTCTAAGTAATTAATATAGGCAGAGACTAATGTGGCCACTCAACCTCTCCGCACAAAAAAAAAAAAGAGTTGCTCTCTTCAGAAGGCATACTAAAGTTGCAGAAACCAGAATATTATGCAAGCTAGAGAACAGCTTAACAACAGTAATACAGGTAGTCCTTGCTTAACAGCCATTTGTTTAGCAATCATTCAAAGTTACGACAGTGCTAAAAAAGTGAATTATGACCAGTGCCCAAAGTTACACATGTTGCAGCGCCCCCATGGTCATATGCTTGTGATCCAGGCACTTGGCAACCAGCTCGCACTCACGACGGTTACAGCACCCTAGGGGCATGTGATTGCCATTGCAACCTTCCCAGCCAGCTTCCAGCAAGCAAAATCAATGGGGAACTGCATGACTAACTTAACAACCACATCATCCGCTTACAACCACAGTGATTCGCTTAACGACTGCCACAAAAAAGGACATAAAATCAGGTCTGGTCACGTGATGATTCACTTAATGACTGCATCACTTAGTGACCTAACTTCCAGTCCCAACTGTGGCCATTAAGTGATGACTATCTGTAGTTCTTTATTGGATCTCCTTGAATATTCTAAAACTAATTTTTGCATGCTGTTCCCTTTTTTCAAACTGATCTATTGTGTCACCCACAAGTTAGCTGAAAATATGTCTAAAATAATAGAAGTCCCATTTCACTGGAATGACTTGCATGTTCCATTCTAGACACTATATTTTCAAATGACATAGACATCTCACTGCAAACTGCCCAGATTTTTCAATCTTAATAATAAAAGCTCCTGCTCTGCTCTGCCTAAAATCAAGGAAATATATTAATTCTAAAAGTAACTGGTAAATAAAAGTAGTTCGTTTTCATATTTATAACTCACAATTCCACCAACTCTATACATTTTACAAACATGCTAAAAAGAACCCTTAGCTTGTGTTCTAAATCTGATTATAAAACAGAGATAAAACTTGCTTACTTGTGCATTGACATTTTGATTGAAAGCTTGTCGCAATGCCAGGGTGAGACCTTTAGTGACATTTTGTTTTAAGGAGCCACTCAGCAGCAGTCTTCTTGTATTCAGAAACAATACTAGAATGTAAACATGTATATTTATTTACAAATACTCTTTGTTCATTTACTCAGTATTTTTTTTCCAAATCATAATGGCTGGCCGTATAAGTTATAAACAAGCTGAATTTTGCAAGGGAATTTACATTCAGTATTGAAAATTTGAACTCAGGTGATTATTATTTATAGTCAAAGACCATTATTTGTTAGTTATTTAAACCCACAAGGGCAAAATGTATCATCATAATCATGGCATAATTAAATCATTATAAACCTTTACTGATACCCATTTCTCAGAGAAATATTTCTAGCCTACAAGGATCTGCAGCTTCTCATAAAATTTCCTAATTTGTTACTTGATGACAAAGTCTCTCCTTATTTTGGCATTTTAACAAAATTAGCTTTTATATGTGACCTCAATTTTGTCATTGTTCCGGATCAATGTACATAAATAGAATATCTGGTGGTGTGACCTCAGAACAATCTCTCCTATCCTGGAACTCTCCGAATGTACTGCAGCTTTCAGAAATCTAGAAGCCAGCCTGAGAAAGGCTGCCTTGGAGAGGACAAAGAGGACAATATTGTTTGTCCTTGTATACATAGGGGAATCAAGCAGACCTTGATATTGCCAGCTCCTTAGAAAATACCATTTGTGGAATCCGGAGGTTCAGGAAATCAATGTTTCCTAGCTGGTCCCATCCTTTATCTTCAGGCATAGATTACCCTTAGGAACAGAGGTAATAGTATGTTCAAACAGAAGCTTAGAATCAAAGACACAATGTTCCCAATTCCCAAATCCTACTTATAATCATGGGAAGGCATGCTTTTCATAGAGTCCGAATCAGGGTCTTCGTATACATTAGGAAGGTATAAGACCTAGTTCTGGCAAGGTCAGAACCAAACAGACTAAACTTAATGACAAATGAAAGCTGTTCCTTGAAAAAAGAGGCCTCAAGCACCACATGGGTGGGAGAAAGAATCAGAAAAATCAAATACTGAATTTACTAAAAATAGGGCTTACATTTTATATTGAGCAATTGCTGGAACTTACTATTAACTGCTTCTATAATTCCTTTATTAAAGACTTGGGTCCTTGAATTCTTGTCAGTATGTCCAGGTCTAGTATCAGCTAAAAGAAGGTTGATGGTAGGAATGAGGCAGTGACACCAGCTATAAAGCTCCTAAGCCTGCCTGATTAATGAACCACCACATTATCCCATTTTTGTTTGTGGCATATTTGCTGGACAGTTACCTTTCCATCTGATACAATGGGGGCAACCTGTGGCCTCAAATCATCTTTTTGCATCCTGTGGAGTGCAAAACTGCTAAAAACAGAGAGTAGTTTCCTGCTATTTTGAGGTGAGAAAATGAAGAAAATTGTAAGGGAATCTTTAAAATAAGTGTATCAGAATTAGAAAAAGGCTTCCCAAAACCTAGCCCTTCCTATATGTATAATATGGACCTATCCTTCCTGAGGTCCTTGGCTTCAAAGTGTGGCCCTTAACCATCACATGTGGCCCACCCATGTAATACATCAAGATTCTCAATCTAGTAGATATCTCTTGGCCTTGAGATTAAGCAGACTTTTCAGCCATCCAGCATCAGTGGAAACATCACTAGTTTTAGAAGTGTGCTATAAGAGCTATGCAGTGTAAAAAACCAAAAAGCATACTATTTATCCACCCAATCAATTACCCTTTTCACTTACTACACTAATTAAAAAAATAACTGAAATTAATATTACACTTTCATAATCAAAATCCAAATGTACACATATTCATACCTGTCTTAACAAGCAGGTTTCTGGACAGCTGGCATTCCAATGGGAGAACTGTTGTCACATTAACAAAAGCTGCAGTTGACACTGATGCAGTAACAGCAACAGAAGCATTTTCAGCAGATGTAGGGAGAAGTCTAGCTGTTTTCGCTGATGCTGTAATAGATGTCAAAGCTGCTGTCATTGTCAATGGGTATGCAGTTGATGTTTTAGTGATGTCTGGGCTTGTGGATTTCTTGGTGTCAAGTAAAGTTTCAGTTTGTCTTGGTACATGTGTTGTGGGCACTGAAACTGTACTAAATTTCTGAATTGGGGATGAACTAGTGATATATACAGGTATTGTAGAATCATCCCTCGATACAACTGGAAAGTTTGCATGTATTACTACTGGGCTTAAAGTTGGTGCCATTTTTGTGATAGTGTTATTTTTTGCTAATGTTGATTTTAACGTGCTTAATGCCATCACAGATGGTGAATTGTCAGTGCTCAGTGAGAACAAGGATGAAGTCAGCATTGGTGATGTTGGAGCTGATTTTCCTGTAACTGGTGTTGCTTCTGAAGTTGCTAGAGATGGTACTACACCAGGAGACACAGACGGTAACACTGTAATGACAGAATGGGTAAAGTTGGTTGTTGGCAACAAAGAAGTTAGTTGCGTTTGTGATGCATGGATAGAAGTTATGATGGTTGCAAAAGTGGTATGTGTTTGCAATGGAGTGATTGTAGTGACCTCATTTGGCATTTTAACTGTACCTTGGGTATTATTTGTATCATTTGTGTACAACATTCCTGTAGTTAATGCTGTAGATGGTTTGCTCAATTGATTATGTGTTTTTGAGTTAAAGTTATTTACAAACTCTGTTGTTTTTCTCAAAGTTGAGTATTCTTCAGTGACATTTAATGTTGGCACTGAGCTTACTACCAGGATAGGAGGAACTGTTACTTTTTTATTACTAATAGCACTAATTTCATTATTTACTGGAACAGTTAATTTAGCAATGAACTGAGAAGCCAATGAAAATGGAAGTGATGTATAAAAGATCTTTGTTGATGCAAAGAGCTTTTCAGAATTAGTTGTCTGAGGTTTGGGTATTGTGTGGATTTTGTCAGAAGAAACAAATAGCCATGAGTGAGAATGTGTTGACACAGCTGTAGAAAATGTATCCAGATTAGATGTTCTAGTGTTAGTAGCTGTGAAATCTTTAGATGTAGAATGGGACTGCTTTTCAGAGCCTGAAATGAAATCAGTATTCCCAACTGTGAAATTTTCCAGAAAACTTTGTGATGCATATATGTGTGGTTTTGACTGTAATGATGGCAGTTCTATGCTCTCTGACAGGGTGCTTTGGTTCTGAAAAGAGGATGAATAAGATGTTTCTATGGAAGATGAGGGTATGTTAAATTCTGAGAAACCTTTCGACTTCATTTTAGTGAAAGGCAAAATTGAAACATGCTGAGCAGATGTTGCAGTTACATTAATGGATGATACAGCAGAACTGGAAGGTTTGCTATTTACATAGCTTGTTGACTGCTCTGAGACTGGAATCTTTGAATATGTTCTTTCTAAAGCTGTGTGACTTGCATAATCTTTGGTAGTTAGGAATATTTGGGCTGTTTTCTTTCCTGAAGACAGACTGCCATCGCTAGTAGACTGCCAATCTCCATTGTCCAAGTGAGGAATTAAAGTCATATTTAACATATCTAAGTTGCTTTTTGAAACTGCACTAGAAAGTATCAAGGAAAATGTTGCCGGGGTCTTCAAATGTTCTTTTGATGAAATAATTGAGGCCAACTCATATATGCCTGAAGTTGCCATAGTAGTCTTGTACGTTGTATCAGCCATATGTGAATGTTCACGTATTTCAGCAGCAGAATTATTTAAAAGTGGTTGAGATAAATGTTTTGAATGTGAGGCTAAAGTGGTGAATACTGCTGATTTTTTCTCTTGTTTTATTAAACTAAGAGTTGTGTTTTGTTTTTTAGATTCTATTAGCTTTAGCTTTCTAGAAACATTAAGTGGAGATATAAATGTGGTAGTAGAATGAGATTTCAAAAGGTCTCTAAAAGAAGTTGGCAAAGAAACTGGAAAAGCTGTAAGGGTTGTCCTTTCTTGTGAAAAAACATTCTGAAGCATTTTTCGCCATGGTGTTTGTTTGCTGACAGGAATTTCTAGAGCAAAATTTGTGGACGGTGTCCCTAGGAACCAGTATGGAAGAATATTACTAGCACCATCAGTTGTGAACATTGTAGAATCCTTTGTGAAAGACTGTCGTTGCAATAATCTCTCCACAGAAAAATTAGGAGGCCCTATAGTAGCTTCATAATTTCTATCAGGAGTATCTTTTTTGAAAACCGGGGTTGATTCTGTGACATGAGAATTTGTTAAATTAATCTCCAAAACAACTTTAGGATTTGATGTTGAAACAGTAGAATGAGCTGCTATGTAAAATGGCCAATTTGTCCTCATAATTATGGAAGGAATGTCATCTGTTGAATAGGAGGTGGGAATGGTTGTTGATGCTGGTATTTGCGCTATTGCATTATCTTTTCTTATTGCTTCTGAAGTAACTAGAGTTGGCACTGTTGAGGAAGATACACTAGTCAATATATGAGAAAATCTTTGACTTTTGGGAGATGTTAATGCTCTCTCTCTTGTAGAATTTGACAGTAGCATAGAAGACACACCATTAATGGTTTTTGATAATGAAGACAGAGTGCCTGAAGTATGGAGAGCTGATGTAGAAATCCATGGAACTGTTTTCTTGTTTTTAAGAACTGGGTATGATGTGGTTACAAAGATGCTACTTTTTTTCAGAGATGTTGTGATATTCACTGGTTTAGTTGTGAGCACTGTGGTGGAAGATGCTTTATGAATTAATCCAGAAAAAGAATTTTTTCTAAAACTCAGTGCAGCTATCTGAGTAGGTGATACATGAAAAAACTGACTGGGTATTAATGCACGGAAAGCAAACGGATGCCATTTCCTATTCTTTGGATATATCTCTCTCTTGGTTGTTTCTATGGGATGCTTATTAATCAATCCAAAATTATAACTAGAGGAGGTAGCAATCAAAGATTCATTGCCAACCTTTCTGGATAACATATATTTTGTTGTGCTCGGTGAATTATCTGATTTTTTATTCAAGTTAGAATTAGTTCTGTTCATGCTGAATGAATGTTTCACATTTATGGACGAAGGCATTTTGGTGGATGGCACAGACAACTTGGAAACAACAATGATATGAGGTGTATCCTTTGTCAATGACAAAGGGGATGATAATGGAAAGTTTGGACGTATGTCTGATCTTAATGTGTTTTCATTTGAAATGGAAGGTGTTGTACATGGAATTATCTGAGATGACACAATAGTAGCTGGATGTGTCACTGATGGCGATGCAGACAATGCAGAGAGCACACTAATTTGAGGCAAACCTGATACAATAGTCATTTCATCAGCTTCCTGAGACTTCACTGGTGATTCAGTTGATACCTCTGAAGGCTCCTGGGATGCACTGTTGCCACTGCCTTGATAGAGACTTGGTAAAAACCTAGTTTGGTCCATAGTTCTGGTCCGAGTTCCTGCTAATGTACTTTTTATTATCTGAAGCAGATTAGCATTCTCCAAAGCTTGCCTCATTGAAATGTCACCCACTGAGGAAGACTCAAGTTCTTTAGAAGGCCATGTTGGTGATAATACAGATCTCCAGTTGGTAAAAGATTCTGAAGAAGGAGCAACATTTATCCGCTGTTGCTCAGTTCCTGAAAGATAATACATTTGTAATGAATACCTACCAAAATTCTTCTATTAAAACACAGAATATGCCCCCTGCATTTCCTTTAGAAAGGGACGTCCATACACTTCCACCTCTCTTGCAAACAGGAAACTTAATCTGGGTTCAGATAGGAGCACTGACCGGTCAAGGATGGATTATGTTGGTATAAAAATGCAGTTCCCTGGGTTTTCATCAGCATCTAGTCATTGCTGCAAATAAAACATACAGTTGGAAACAGGAGGCTCAAAGTATATCCACAATAGGTAGACAAAGTGATACGTTAAGTATTCCTATTCCTCAGGGAGACGAGAAAGGTTCTTCTCACAGAGAAGAGAAAGCTCCTGGAGGAAAAAATAATAAAGTTCTGGGCAACAGTTTCACTGGCACTGTAAATATAGAGAAAGGTAAAACATACAATAGCAAGGATAAACTACAGGTGAATTATAAGTGCAGTTAACATGCTGAAAATCATAGGGCAGGATGCCTAAAAGGCCTATGATTGTCAACCCTCCTACCTTTTACATAAACTACAAAGGCCTGACCAAGCTGCACTTGACAAAATTCCCAATGTTGTTATCAGCTACAGTATGCCAACATATTAAGAAAGTTGGAGTCAGAAGTTAAACAAATGAAAGAAATGCTGACAAGTATGTATCGGTGACTTGGCAAACAATGCTGCATAGGAATATTGTGAGCCTTGGCTAGATTCCTTCATGGAGCAGCTGTAGGTGTTATCTTGCCAGCAATAATTATGTATACAATTACACGCAGGAAATGAAAGCAAGAAAAATGTAGGAAACAAAATGAGAGAAAGGAGAATAAAGGTTAAAATGCACCATTAACTCTCTGTAAATGTAGGTGCGCATGTAAGGGCACACGCACATATACATCCCCAAACACAAACATAGAAATGAAAAACTACACAGACATTTTCAATTATAATAAATAAGTAGTTGCACTTTACTATATATCAGAAATGGCTACAAAATTATATTCAGATTTGCACAAATCCATTTTTTTAACATGAAAGTCAGCAAATAATTATAATATAGTTAATATGATATGCTAATTCAGTATATCAGAAATATTTTAAAAGTGTGATATATATTTGCATGTAGTGGTATGTTAAATAGAAACCGCTGTCCTGACCATTCCAAAAGCGTTTCAAGCTCAAAGGAATATTGTGAGCTTGGAATGCTTCTAGTATATTCAGAGCAGCATTAGAACACTTTCAGCAAGACAGGTTTTGAACTCAAACTAGGTGTCTCAAGCTTGAAATATTTCAAATTCAAAGCATTTTGTACACTACCATTTCTCTTATGGGATTCCTGATACTACAGAGTATGTCAGGGACCCCTCACATGTAGGCAGAAACAAATTCCACAGCATTTACAAACTAAGCCATTTTGGAGCTATTTAGTTATTCAAACTAGCCATTGTTCCTCAAAAGCATTAAAAGAATCCTGAATAAGTGTAGCTACTCCAAACTCTGTAATTTCTAGCACTTAGGCTCTTGCATTATCCAAAACAGAAATTTCAGGAGTGTTGCAGAAATCCATGTCTTCATCTCCATTTACACAACAGAAATACTTAATATTAACAAATGCCAGGCACTGATGAAATGTATTTTAAGGCACTGGGATCTTAGTACAACTATTATTATTTAGATCAGGGGTCAGCAAACTATTGTGCATGGGTCAAATCTGGCCTGCTGCCTGTTTTTATATGACCCACAAACTAAGAATGGACAGGTGAGCAGGTGGTAGATCACTAGGCCAAAGCCTCAGCTGAGCTCCTGGGGTGAGAGTTGAGGGGCAGGGCCAAGGGTTAGGTGTCCTGAGCAGTGGCCTATCAGGCCTGCAGATCTGCCAGCCACACCTGCTGAGGGAGAAAAGGGGCGGGATCTGGAAAAAGTTTGCTGACCCAGATTTAGATTATTTGCTGTCATCTAAAAAAAGTTTGCTGACCCAGAAAAAGTTTGCTGACCCAGATTTAGAAGAATTTCAGAAAGATCTACTATCAGAAAACAACGCATATGCAAGCATATATTCTGCCTACTTTAAACTACAAATTGGAAACATTCACAAAGTTCTGCTGCAGCATTAAAAAAAAAAACTGATTGAAAAAAAATCTTTGTCAAATCACCAGAAGCCCCCTCCTATGCCTGTTACTCAGATGACATGACTACAATATGTGAACTGTAAATTGGTAGAATACATACTTGTATGAAAGGTGAGCTTTTCACATAATTTTAAGCAAATACAAGTAGGAGTGTGTAATTTTTCCACGCAAACTAATATATAAAGAGTTATTTTTCTACTAAATATCATACTAAATATCCAGTACAACTACCACTTCATCTCAGGAAATGATGTTACATCATCAATGCAGTACATTAACTGCACCATAATATTTCTACAATAAGAAATAAAATAAAAAGCGGACATAGCAGAAAGTGACATGGCCCAGGCACAGAAAATTGAAACAGATCGTGAAATCAAAGAAAAATGAAATACAGGAGTAAGGGGAGGAATACAGAAGCAGAAGCAACACAAAATGTTGCCAATGTAATTGAAACCTTGCATGAATTAAAGTAGCTGTTTTAATGGATAACTCAAGTGAGTTAATATAAACTATCAACAGATAGCTAACTAGGAACTAATAATGAGATGCAGCATGGATACCATCACTCCCTCATGTGATCAAGAACAGCTCAAATTAAATTGCTACAGTGCACTCATGGCTTCAATTATTCAACACCAACCAACAGACACTGACCAATTAGATACTGCATATCAAGCCATTCTCAACAAACTACAGATGGAAAAAATGAAAATAACATTGGGTAAGAAGATAGCAATTGCCATTCTAAATGCAGTGACTGTTACCTGAGAACAACTGAATTGTATGCCTCCAAACTCTATTACCACAAACAGCAAATATGCCATATAAAAGCACAGGAGGACAAGTGGGGCATGTATGTCATGTCACCATGCAAAGCCCACAATGTGCATACTTGCATCTGATGCCAGAATATAAATAGAAAAACATGGGATGTGCATCATGACATGTCACCATTTCTTCATCATCATGATTACCTATGGATGCATATGCACATAAGGTTCTGTTGTATCAAGAACTCTGTGGGAATAAATTTACCTTCAGCCAAGAGTATTTCTGACAGAGACTTAAAATCATAAGGGCATCCATAAAAACATAAGAAAAACAAGGCAAAAATCAGCTGCACAGTACAAGAAAGATGTTGCAAACACCATAAGTCTCTTACTCTACTCGGAAGCTAGCAGAAAATCAATTCTCTTCCCATTGCTATATAAAGTACAGAAGGTGAATTGGTAAAGGGTGTCTATTCTACATTGACATTTCAGCTTTGGGTTATTCTTCACAATAATTTTTCTGGAACGGTCTCTGACATCCTTTTACATTTGATTAAAAAAAAACCATTTTTAATGGGCTGCTCTCCTTGTGCCTTTATATTCCATGGAGTGGAGATTTAAGTTTTTTTTTTTTTTAAATCTCAAATAAAAGCTCTTCAGAAAGATATATAGGAAAGAAATGGCTTTTTTTGCAATGGCCCCATGATAATGGAATACATTACCAACTAAAATTCATTCTAAGACCCAACCGCAAAAACCTTCAAAAAAGGTTTATTTGCCTTTATTATATGTTATTTCTTAAGGGACTGTTGATGGTTCTTTTGATTTTAGGACTTTTTAGGTAGATTGTCTATTTTGTCAGTGTCAGTGAGATTTATTTACTTTGCTGTTAGCACTGGGAACTACCAATGCTATCAAATTATTGTGGAGGCTTCATCCCTTCACAAAACCAATTCAAAAATATTTTAAATTAAAAAATATTTCATTTGTATCCTTTTGTGTGTTTTATTGTTTGCTAATCCATAAACCAAAGTAAACCAGCAGCTACAAATAAAAGGTATATTGAATTAATTGCTTCAGGTATTTACATAAACAAAAGGCACACTTTAAACATTAGCAATACTGACAAAAAAGAGAAACAGGAGCCAATGAGTTGCAGATTGCAGACAGTGTGTGCATACCATTTTTTTTAGCTTATTCTGCCAGCAGCACCTCCTACACACCTCAAAAGATGCTCAACAAGTTTAGAAAAGCTTTTATTTGATTAGGTTGCTTTCCCTGAAAGGAAATATCTTCTCTGCCCCATGTAGATCCAAAAATATTTTCTTTTTTTAATCATTTTTATTGAAGACGTTTTTGAACAGAATTAAAAACAGTACAAATTGTGAACTAAAGAAGAATAAAAAAAAGCAATAAGAAAGTAAAAAAGAAATAGAGAAAAAGAAAGAGGAAAGGAAAAGGAAAGGAAAAGGAAAGGAAAAGGAAAGAAAAGGAAAGAAAAGGAAAGGAAAGGGATTCTAAAGAAGTGACTTCCGATCTTCTTGGCAGCAGTTATAGATACATTTATATTTTACTCTCTAAGGTTACATCATAATTTCCTCATTTCCATAAACTACCCTTTCTAATCTTCAACTCCATAAATCACAAGTTCATTTTTCTCTTTTTTCAGCAAAAAGTCCATAAGCGGTTTCCAGGCACTAATAAATGTAGTTAGCTGTTGATCTTTCTCTAATCAAACAAGTAAATTTTACCATCTCTACTAGTTCTGTCGTTTTCACCATCCAATCCTCTGACATGAGTACTTCAGAGTCTTTCCATTTTTGCGCATATAATAGTCTCACAGCAGTAATCATATATAAAAAGAACCTTCTATGGCTTTTTTCTAATTGACTGTCCATTAATTCCAGTAAGAACAATTCTGGTTCCAGTTGAATGTTGATCTTCAAAATTCTTTGTATCATTATATTTATTTGAACCCAGAAATTTCTGGCTTTTTTACAAGTCCACCAGGCATGATAAAATGACAACTTCAGGTTGTCTACATTTCCAACATAAATTTGAAGTACCTCTATATATTCTAAACAATTCTTCTGGAGTAATATACCAAC